TGGGGTTTCCTCCTGTCTCTGTTCTTCTCTGTTCCCCAGCTGAGTGACTCTCAATGCCATGCTCCCTTCAGAACCCTGCTTTTCCCCCTGGATTACTTCCAGGAGAGGAAAGTGCTTTGTCTTTCTTTGAAACTCCTTTTCCCAACTCCAGTCTCTGTCTGTTGGGAGCTGCTGGAATGCCCTGAGGTGAACCCTGCACCTTCATCTCCATTTTTCCCTTTGCAGGCCTGGTGACCTCGCTGTCGGAGAGCTGGTACAACCTCCTCCTGGACATGCAGAACAGGCTCAATAAAGTCATCAAGAGCGTGGGCAAGATCGAGCACTCCTTATATCCTTTCATAGCTCATTCAGGAGCCTGGGCCAGTCAGTGCTGGGGGCTGGCTTGTGAATTGGGGCTGAGCCAGGGGTGGGGTGGGATGGGGTGTTGGAGTTTTCTCTTTGTTGGAACACTCTGGTGGGAGTGTAGCTCACCTGGAGAAGGGTGGTGATGTGTTTGCCAGGGCTTTGTGCTTGAAGAGAGGGTGCCTGGGGTACAGAGGAGTCAATCTTACAGGGTTTGAGGTTGAATCTAGCTTTGTGGTAGCCCTAAAAACGTGGCCCAAGTTGTGTCACCCTCCCGAGGCAGCGTGGTCACCATCTGGGACAGCCCCAGGCTGGGGCTGATGTTACTCTGTGTGGATTCAGCTCCTTAACAGTGGCACCTGGAGATCGTTTCACACCGAGCGCAAGACAGAACCGGCCACAGGATTCATCGATGGTGACCTGATCGAAAGTTTCCTGGACATCAGCAGGCCCAAGATGCAAGAGGTGGTGGCAAACTTGCAGGTGAGCTGGGTGACGTGAGCTTGGGTCCTTCAGATTGAGCAGCAAGGATCCTGCTTGGGAATCCCAGACTGCTTTGGGTGGGAAGGGACCTTAAAGATCATCCAGTCCCAACCCCCCTGCCAGCAGCAGGGACACCTTCCACTAGACCAGGTTGCTCAAAGCCTCATCCAACCTGGCCGAGAACACCTCCAGGGAGGAGCAGCCACAGCTTCTCTGGGCAACCTGGGACACTGTCTCACCACCCTCACAGTGAAGAATTTCTCCCTCACATCTCAGCTCCATCTCCCCTCTGCCAGTTTCAAGCCATCACCCCTTGTTCTGTCACTCCCTGCCCTTGGCCAAAGTCCCTCCCCACCTTCCTGGAGCCCCTTCAGGTACTGGGAGGCCACTAGAAGGTCTCCCTGGAGCTTTCCAGGCTGCAGTAAATGACCAAATCCTAAATGCACTCCCGATGGTCTGGGAATGTTCTTCAGCACCTGCTGCTGTCTCTGTGCTCTGATGCTTTTTTCCCTCCTTGCAGATCGACGATGGCAGCGGTATGAAGAGGGAGGCCACCGTGGACGACCTGATAAAGATCGTGGAGGAGCTGACCCGGATCCATTAACAGGATTCGGGGTCATTCCCTAGCACCTTCCTCCACGCAGAGCAAGGGAATCTCTTCCCCACCTGCAGCTTGGGGACCCTCCTGGCCGGCTGCACTCAACACCAGCGGTGGTGGCCCTTGCCCGAGGGGACGTGAGGGAAGGAATCTCTGAAGGGAAGCCAGCTTTGCTAGGGATTTGGGGGGCTGTTGGTCAGGCACCACGTCATCACCTGCTTGGATTCACCAATCCTGCGGACTCGGCTGCTGACCCAGAACTGGGCTTTGCTGGTTGCTCTCGTTGGTTGACCAGCAGTTGGTTGACCAGCAGTTGGTTGACCTCGGCTGATGCGATGCCCTTGGCCTGGATTCACTCTTCACTGTTGTCTTTAGTACCTTTTTGTTTTGTTTCGTTTCATTTTTGATTCTTTTTGATTCATTGTGGTTTTTTTTTGGAAGAGGAAGCCAAGCTGCCTCGAGGGTGAGGACTGGGGAGGAATCATCTGGGGCTGGTGAGACGCATGGGCGTGGAGGGGGAGGATTTCTCTCCATCTGGGTGACGAAGCTGAGCGGGAAAGCGCTCTCCTCTCTCTCTCTCTCTCTCTCCACAAGATCTGTGACTCGCTCAGGGAGGGAAGTTCTGGGAAGTTCAAATCAGTTGTTGGTTTCTTGAGTTTTACCAAATAAAGTAGTCCAAGAGGAAAGGTCTGTCTCCTGGCACCGAGCTCCTCATCGTGACCGCGGGGGTGGCACCCGCTGTGTCCTCAGCTGGCTGGAGGGACCTTCTGTTCCCAAACCAAGGTGCTTTCCTGCGTTGAAATGTGGTTCTGTGGTTGGTGTTTTGGGGGGCAGCAGGTCTGGCCCATCGATCTGCAGGCGCTGGGGTGTGTGTTTTGTTTTCCAGATGCATTTTTATGGCTTTTCTTTGACTGGAAAGCAATTTGAGTTTCGTTTTTTTGGTGTAACCCAGCGTGGATGGGTTTGGCAGCAGTTTGAGTGCAGCTCATGAGGAGATGGATCTTCTGCTGAATTTTTGAGGAAATCTTCACCTTGTCCATCCCTTTGAAGGAAACACATCACTTCCTGGGATCTGAGGAGTTGTCTGGCATTAGCAGAGGAGCAGATGGAAGCCAGAGACCCTTCTCAACCAGCCCTGGCTTGTTCCTTGCAAGCCTGGACTCTGCTCCGGCACTCAGCCCGTGTCCCTGGGGCACTGTGGGATCAGAGCTTTGATTTTTCAACCTCTTGGTGCTCTTCCTGCTCCTTACTGGTGTTCTTGCTCCCTGGGACCTTGAGCTGAGCCTGTGTGAGTGACAAGGAGATGTGTCCTCTGCTCCACCACCTTCTCCCCACGGGAAGGGGTTTGTGCAGGAGACGCTGGAGCTCTGCAGGGTCTGGGATTGACAGGAAGCTGATGTTGGATGAGGCTGATGGATTTGGGATCTCAGGCTGGTCCTCCTCAAGCATCAATTAGCACTAACGATGCTGAATTCTCCCGGTAACTCACAATTTGAGGGTCTGGGCTGCTGCTCTGTTTCAGGAGGATCTTTCCCTCAGCCCCTGCAGCCCCACCTCTGCCGATGCAGAGCGATTCCCTCCCCGTGGGCAGCAGTTTAATCATTCTCCTCCCCCTCTAACATTGTCTATTTACTCTGTAAATTGTCCAAGTTGGGGTTCCTGCTGCCCTCCCCTATGGATTGCTGCCAAAATGCATGTGAGGGTGGTAGAGGAATCCCTGGCTGCCTTCCTCTTCCTCATCCTCTCCGTGGCTCTGTGTCCACTCTCCCCACCTGAGCCAGCCTGGATCTCACCCAACATGAGCCTCTCCAGTCCCACCCTGGCTGGGTTTGCTTCAGCACAAGGTTTGCCCCCAAAATCCTTCTCTCCTTGCAGCAGCAAGAGGTGGGCAGCGTCCTGAAAGCCAAGCTGGTGCTGAAAGCATCCTCCAGCTCCTACTAATATCTCCTAATTCTTAGGCCAGCCCTGCTTTCTCCGAGGAGGTCACAGGGTGAAGACTTTATTTGGATAAGGCAGCCCAGAGAAGCTGTTTGGGGCTGGGGGAAGCGGACTGTGACCCTTTGCACCCAGCCTGGGCTGTGTGTTTGTGCTGCCTGCAAGCAGACGGGGGTTTTTATGAGCTTGGCTGCCCAGAGCCACTCTCTTCCTTGGCTCCTCACCAAAATTGGGGGTTCTCGGGGAGCACACCCTGCAGAGAGCAGCACAGCTCATGTCTTATCATTCCCCAGCAAAACTGGGGATGCTGGTGCCAAAAAGATGCTGGCAAACTCCTTTTTTTGTGTGTGCAAACAGCCTCCTGCAGCGGGTTTGAAACGCTGCTGACCGGGGCAGGGCTGGTGTTGATCCCGTGCCACTGGCCACGCTCCAGCTGCACTCACTGGGAGCTGATGGCCAGGGCTGGGGTCACGTCCCTCTCTGGGCCAGGGTCTTCTTCTGCACCCCTAAAAGCAGCGTGTACCCCCCCACCCTGCACCCTGTA